GCAGAGGTTGCGGTGAGCCAAGATCACACCACTGCACTCCAGCCTGGGAGACAGGGCGAGACTCCATCTCAAAAAAAAAAAAAAGATACAGGTTATGCTATTGGTTATTTGGATTCTCTAACAGGATGTGATGTGGCCTTGAAATTCAAATTCAGTGGGTGTTTCTCTCATATCTTGTCTAGAGAATGGAACAGATTATGAGATCCACTTAAGCCACTGGAGATGAATTTGGTTTGATGAGCAGCCCTTTTAACTTTAAAAGCTGTCTCTCATCAATTCTTGGTCCCCAGGTTTATTTCTACCACTGGAGGGGTGAATTAAAGAAGAATCCATTCAGGTTATGACCTAAATCTTCTCGGTCATAGGAATACTATTGTAGAAACCCGTATTCCATATGGGGCAGGCTGACATGTTCCCTACTAGTACTGGCACTACCAAAACAAGCTTTAGGGTTCATTCTTAAATCCTTCTGAAATGCATACTTTTCTGCTATTCCTATTTCTGAATTTAGCGGGTCACTAGGGAGAGATTTGCCACTTGAATTCCTTTGCACAAGAGCTGGGAGACTTGGATTCCAATTCTGACTCAGCCACTAACTGTGTGGTTTCAAGCCTGGCTATGACCTTTTTTTCACACTGTGATCTTAGGTACTTCACTTCATCTTTGGGCCCTTATTATTCTGATCTCTAAAATGGGTGATTACTAGCAACTTCACTCTATTCTTTTCTTATCTAATTTATAGAATCACAAGGAAAATTGATTCTATCATGCATATAAAAGTACTCTATAAACCTTAAGTACTTCCTGGGAGCATTTTTTAAAATACAAAGCAAAAAGAAAGGCAATGTGGTTAGTAATAAGATCCTCTAAACTAAGATAGGAAGACAGACAATGACTGCTTCTGGATTTTACCGGAAGTGAGAAGTTCCATGACTTAATTTAACTCCAGGGGAATGCAAACTGAAGAGTACCATCTCTCCTAGGCAGTCAGAAGAAAGAAATATAATATTGTTTCCCTGCTGGTTAGGAACTCAAGATGAACTCTTGAAGAAGGAAGGTGTGCTTGCATTACTGGTTGTTTCAGAACTTCCACCAGACTCGAAATTCCTCAAATCTGCTTCCTTCACACTATACTCAAAAAGGAGCCAAAGCTATGTGGCATACTGTAAGAAAAGAACCAACAGCCTACAGAATACTTCCATTCTAATCCTACTACTACGTCCAGGGACACTGATTTATAAAATAAGAATTTTTAAAAATAGGAATATTGACACTTAGGTTAAAAAAAACTATGTTAATATTAATAGCCATCTTCGTCAATGTTAACCTCACTATCAAAAAAAGAAAAAGAAAAAATCATGTCAATGCACACAAAACCTGAAAGATATTCCTGACCACTTGAAGGTCTTGATTTTAATATGAATGCTCTTGGAAACTCTAAGCAAAAGTGCCCAGGAAATATGCTGCCAAGGTTTGGGGCACTCAGTTAGACCTCAGCAGATTCCAAGATTGCACTCCTTGCCTAAGAGTTTTCTTTAAATGATCACTGGTTTTTGAAACAATTATTTCTCAAACAGGTTGATATTCAGCAGGCTGGATGCTGGGTGCTGCAGGGGCTCTGAGTATCTTTCTTTCCCATCATGGACCCAAAGTCTAACAGACCTTTTTTATATAGTGTAATAATCTGGCCGGGCATGGTGGCTCACACCTGTAATCCCAGCACTTTGGGAGGCCAAGGCAGGTGGCTCATGAGGTCAGGAGTTCGAGACCAGCCGGACCAACATGGTGAGACCCCGTCTCTACTAAAAATACAAAAATTAGCCAGGTGGTGCGAGCCTGTAATCCCAGCTACTCAGGAGGCTGAGGCAGGAGAATCGCTTGAACCCGGGAGGTGGAGGTTGCAGTGAGCCAAGATCGTGCCATTGTACTCCAGCCTAGGCGACAGAGTGAGACTCCATCTCAAAAATAATAAAAATAATAATCTGAACAGACCACAAAAGGCTTGGGAAAGTAAAAACAATGCCCTGTATTTGGTCTCCTCCATCCGAGTGGCTGGGACTCTGTCCTCTAGTCTGTGCTCATGTCAGGCAACCAATTTATCTCTCTGCAATCTGAAGTTCCACTCTGCAGAGAGGACACAGTGAGGACCCCAGGCAGATTGTTGAGCCCCTTCCCTGTTTCCGCCATTCATGGATAACCATGACCTTGACTCATCACACTGAGAGATGTCTTCCCAAATTATCAATCTTGTATGGGGTTTCAAAAGTCTAGCCCTAGGCCAGGTGAGGTAGCTCACGCCTCTTGTCCCAGCACTTTGGGAGGCCTAGGAGGGCAGACCACGAGGTCAGGAGATGGAGACCATCCTGGTTAACACAGTGAAACCCGGTCTCTACAAAAATACAAAAAAAATTAGCCGGGCAATAGTGTCACGTGCCTGTAGTCCCAGCTACTCAGGAGGTTGAGGCAGGGGAATCCTTGAACGGGTAGGGGGAGGTTGCAGTGAGCTGAGACCTTGCCACTACACTCCAGCCTGGATGACAGAGTGAGATTCTGTCTGAAAGAACGAAAGAAAGAAAGAGAGAGAGAAAGAAAGAGAGAGAGAGAGAGGGAGAAAGAAAGAAAGAAAGAAAGAAAGAAAGAAAGAAAGAAAGAAAGAAAGAAAGAAAGAAAGGAAAGAAAGAAAGAAAGAAAGAAAGAAAGAAAGAAAGAAAGAAAGAAAGAAAGAAAGAAAGAAAGAAAGAAGGGAGGGAGGGAGGGAGGGAGGGAGGGAGGGAGGAAGGAAGGAAGGAAGGAAGGAAGGAAGGAAGGAAGGGAAGGAAGGAAGGAAGGAAGGAAGGAAGGAAAGAAAGAAAGAAAGAAAGAAAGAAAGAAAGAAAGAAAGAAAGAAAGAAAGAAAGAAAGAAAGAAAGAAAAGAAAGGAAGGAAGGAAAGAAGGAAGGAAGGAAGGGAGAGAGAGAAAGGAAGAAAGGAAGAAAGAAAGAAAACAGAAAAGAAAGCAAAAGGCTAGACCTAATGCAATACCATTTCCTAATAAATTCTGTAAATAAATTTTTGTTGTCTTTCAACTTGAAAAGCCATGGGAAAAGACAGTCTTTTTGTTTTGTTTGTTTTTTCTGGGGGGGGTTCTTCTCCAAAGTGGGGAGGAAAAAAAGATATCTTTTATCCACTTCCATTATCCTCTTGCCCCTTAAAAATCCCACTTTTAGAGATATCTACTTATTTACAAACTGACTCTGAGAAGAAATAAAAAGTGGAGGTAGATACACAGACCAGAAATGAAAGTGTAGTGACCACCAAATGCAGTTACAAAGGCTGAACTTGTCTCAAGACCCAGGATTGTTGTTTCAATTCTGGCCTCCCTTTGGAAGTGGTGCCACTCTTTTGAGGCATCAGCAAGGAGTTCAGCACATTTAGGGAGGATGCCATCACAGAAACCCTAATGGTTATATTTCAGCAACACATAGGTAGAGAACGGGGCAGGGAGAGGGTTTCTTTATGAAATAACTTCTTGTCTAGAAGTCTCACACTCAACTAGGAGAGAGGAAGTCACAAACCGGCCACTTGTGTAATCAGGGTTATTTGTCGCGGAAAAGCCACGGGGGAAAGGTGATGGCAAGGAGGCTGCAACCTCCCTTTCTCGGTGCACACATCTGCTGGTAGGAAGAGGCAACTCTGCATGCCTTTACCAAAGGCCATCCTGGGTCTGTATGTGTAAGCCACACGTGTGTGTCTGTGAACATTTATGACTTATGTGCTAACACAGGAAAAGACACTCCCTTTGATCAGTTAAACAGAGTTTGGTGAAATTAGCTCTGAACGAGAAACCAGAAAACCTGGCTTCCCTGCCTTCTCTCTTACTGATGTGGCCTCTGGCAAGCCCTTCACCTTGGCGAGCCTCGGTCTCCACCTCCAAAAAGTGGAATTCGTGAGCTCTGTCCCAGAGAGCAGGTGAAATAATGCACGAGACAGCACTGTATTAAAGTATAAGGTAGCTCACTACTGTAGGGAGTCATCATTTATTATGAATAAGCAGGAAAGAATTCAGATGCCAATTATTTAGCTATCTTTTCACTAAGCTAGGTAATCTAGCCAGAAGGTGGATGGGTAAGATTTTCCCCACTTAGGTGCATGCTCTGTATGTGAATCTACAGCACACAGGTGTCTGAGCTCTATTATTGACAAATCTATTTTAATTTGCTATATTGTTTCTAATTCTCTTCTGGATCTCCAAGCAGTAAAAAATACCAAACTGAGAAAAGTTCTGTGCAAATTAACTGGGCCAGAAAGAATTTTTACCACCTGTTTGTAGATGTAACTTATTTGTGGCACTAATTTCTAAGGAATGGAGCATTACTATGATCACAATGGTCTGTTCTGATGTGAACCTCTTTCCTCCTATAATTTCACCCCTCTAAAATCTGCCCCAAATTTCCTGATGTAAGTACTAAAGAAGCTTTATGTTTGTTTTCTGCATTAAGATATAGTTCCTGAAGGTTTGGGAACCTAAAATTAGAATATTTAATGAGCAACTACTGACATTTATCACCTTCTTTAGGATTTACCGCTCACCCAGTGACGTTATCTTTCCTAAGCTAAATTAAAAGACAAATTCAAATTCTGCATGGTAGCCACCAAAAGCATATATTTGAAAAACAGGATTCGGCGTGCCATTTTATGCATTATTTAATGGCATGCAAATTATAAGTCAGACAGTTAGGAAAACCACACTTCAGCATTAATAAACAGCAACACTACTACTACATTAATTATGATATTGCTATGATTTATTCCTAAGTTTTGCATTTTGATTCTCCTTGAAAATTTATGCCATCTGATAAGTGGTAACCTAGTTCCCCTCCTACATCTCCTGCCCATTTCTCAAATCTGTTCCTCCTACCCACCCGATGGGTGTCTGTAGGAAACGGGTACAGAAATACAAAGTCATAAGCAGCTGCATTGTCTTATTAGCATTAAAAATTAAAGAACAAGCAAACACCACCTAAAGCTCCAACATTTATTGTGTCAATGTTAAGCACACTTTTTAAAAGACAACATAGAATGTATAGAAACAAGGGGTGGGGACTCATGCGCATTTCCACAATACGGGTAATTAGGTTGGCTGGTTTCAGAAGGGCCAGGGCATCACTCATGACAGCGATGGTCCACGGGCCCTCTCTATGGGACTGATTCACTGTTCCAATGTGGGTCTGTTTTTTTGTTTTTACTTTTTATTAAAAAATATAAATAAAATGGCACTGCAGGTCCAGGCTGGAAGGACTCTGCAGGACTCTGTCTTCGCACAACGGCTTCTTGGAGGCTACTGTCAGAAAACATCACAAACTAGCAGGATGACAGACCACGCTGACGTCGACTGGGCGGCACGCGTCCACCCCGCCCCTGGGGGCTTCAAATTTTCTCAGAACTTAAGGGCTCTCGAGCTTCCATCCGAAAACTGCCACACATCTTGAGCTCTCTGGGTACTACGCCGAATGGGGGTGTGTGAAGAACCTAGAAAGAGGTTGGAGACAGAGGAGGGGGAAAAAAAAAATACAGGTGTGACTTGGCCCAATGATTTTCTGTTCTCTAACTAGCTTTTAAAAATTAGAACTTAAACCAACCACAGGTCGAGCCACTGGCATCTTAAGCATGATTTCAAACTCAGTCTCCCCTCCCCAAGTATCTCTGACCACTGAGTGGTCTTCCCACGCCTCCCTCCCTTCCGTCCCCCCAAGGAGGACCCAGGTCCCCCCACCCCTGCCCAATTGTATGATAGTCCTAATAAACTCGGGACACACCTGGAAGGAAACACTTTCCCTTATGACTGAGAAAACTTAGTAAGAAACAGTCCTTTGGTTGAGGAGAGCGGGAGAGGGAGGAGGGAAAGGGGACACCTTCTCAAAATAATAATAAAATTATAAAGAAACAAAAAATTAAAACTGATGTAAAAGCAGCACAACGAAAACATGAAATGTCATCAAGTTCAACGTCAAAGCAGCCAATGATTTACAAGAGGCGAACAAATCTCTGAAGAGAAAACCAGAACCCAAAAGAGTTGCTCTCAAATTGCACCAAAAACTGCCTGTAGTTTCTTTCAAACATGCAGTTTTCTTTTCTTTTTTGGAAGGGGGAAGGCAATGGTGAAGGGAAGAAGGGAGTGGTTATTTTCCTCCGGGGTTCCTCCCTTGCTGTGGACATTGACTTGAAGCAGCAGAACTGGGAGTCCGGATGTGCCGAGGAAGAGGGCTACCACTGTGGCATTCCAGGCCTCGTTGCCATGGCGACCCGAAGCAGGGGCCTGGGGCCTCCTCTCCCCTGACTTGGCGCCGCAGGAGGCCCGGGGTCTGGAGCTCAGCTGCTCTCACGCATCCCACCCCTGAGCAGAGCAGCGGAGACCTGGGCTGAGGGGCATGCTGTGTCCAGGTGGGTTCTGGGGAATCCCATTCCCAGTCCAGCGCTAAGTCACTGTCGTCGAGGCCCCTTTAGCTGAAACCCAATCAAACCCCTTCGTCCAACCTGCTACCAATATTCAAAGCCCTAATAGACAAAGTGTATCATGGGCATGTACCACGTTCACAGCTATTTAAAAAAGCACAGCCCCCTAAGGGTTTAGGGGCTCCCGCTTTAGAGGACACTTGGGGAAATGGCTTAATTTGCCTCTTCTACCATCCCTATGAAAGATCTGATACACGTGCTCCCTTGAAATAGTTTTTGCCACTTTACAGAAAGGAAAAACAGTATTTGGATCAACCATCGAGCTGTATTCAGCCAAGTTTAGGTTCTTAAGTACAATGACCCGTGTGAACTGGATTGGTCTCTTTCCCATTTGGAAGGGAGGAATTAATGGTATCCCATGACTGTAGATGACACTGGGAAATAGAGAGAGAGAAAGAGAGAGAGAGAGAAACAGTCCCATCCCTCTAAAGGCTGAGTCACTGCCCATGTGCTGTATGTAGTAAATGAAACAGCGGGCTAATGGGATAACGAGATGCCAGCAAGCAGAAGTGCAGACCCGACAACCCATGTCCACAGTTCATAGCTATAGCAGCCCTAGAGTAAATACACATCATCTCAATTCCCTCTATGTGTTCTGATGTCCATTTCTCTAACAATGGGTTGTTTATTCTCAACTGGGAAAGATGCAGGGCTTTAGGAGACACCTAGGAAAATCTGCTAGATGGCTCATGCCTTTTAAAAGTTAGCAGTCTTTTAAGAAACATTTTTCCAAGCAGGTTGAGAGAACTCTGCCAATCCCATCCTCATATCGGCAAAGTTCCCACAATTTTTTTCACAGGAAGTTGTCTGAAAAAAAGAGAATGGGATGGGTACATTCCTGAACACACCAGGCCCAGGGACAATGGAGTAACAGAATCGTAATGAGAAACATACAGTTACAACACAGTCATAAGAAGTCATGTTCGTGTGTGTACGGAGGGGGAAGGAGACTTAAAACAAGAAAACACTGTATTTCCTCCCTCAGTCCCTGTGAGCAAAGGGCTACAAGCAGGAGAGGATGGGGCCTGAGGCTTCTCAACTCCTTTTCAGGAAGGCCCGAAATAATCCCAGTACTTTTCAGCAAACTGTGTCTGTGAATAAACCACCTCATTTCCTTATTTCTCCAATTGGAATTATACCTAAGCCACCTCCCGCCACTTCCTTTCAAATTCTCACTTCTAGCATTATGAATATATACAATATGTACTTATTGCATATACAAAAACAGTATTTAAATAAACAGTTCTATATCTACAGAATGCCCTGGGAAAAACTCAACTACTTCACACTTCCTGCCATGGCCAGTGCAAATGAAGAACTGTGTTCACCTCACTTCTTAGTAACCTTTGTAACGTGTTGGTTCCAGCCCTTTTGTAGGTCCTAAACAAAGAAAGGATAGCAAATGGGTTCAGGAAGGAGGTAACAGAGGCACTGGAAGAGTTTCTGATTTAAAATCTGGGAGAAATAGAATTTGCTGTATTCCTGTTTATTAAGTTGTTCTCAAATGAAGATTTAAAAGAACATTTTAAGCATCAGGACTTCAGGTATGTAGGAAACATTCCATCAGCACGTCAAGCCTGTTACGAAAACTTACTTGAGGATTTTAAGAGACATTAATGTTCTTAGTAGTTCCTCATTTAAAAAAAATAGATCATGAATTCATCTTATTGTTGGAAATTTGTATGTTATTTTATATTAAGGTTTTAAATTTTAGAGTTCTGGATACAAAGTGTCATTTATAAGTGATATTCATGTTGGCTAGGTTCTCATGCTTCTATTGTTCATCAGCTTCAGAAATAATATTTTATCAGAAGATTTCAATAAGTTAGGAGACTGAGTAACCTGAAGAACCCATCTCCCAATAAATTTGTTTAACTTTGGGACCATGTAAATCAAACATAATCTGTGATTTATCACCAGATGTTTGCACTCCTCCCCATTCCCCATTTGATTTAAGAAATTTGAACAGACAAGTATACAATATCCACCATTAATTCTGTCTGTCAGGATGCAAAACCTAATTATGCTAAGAGCATCATATACTGAGAAATTAAAATGAATACTGTATATAAAACCTGCACAGTTGCACTCATAGCTCCTAATAAAAGAGTAATAGGGACACACGGAGGTTTTATGGACATTTAATATGGTGGAGTTGAAGTCACCACATCTAAAGCTGGCATGGCACTGGGGAATTATTTCTATCTGTCTTGAGCAGCATTTTGGGTTCAGTTTTGGAGAAACCTAATCCAAAACACATACAGTATATCTTTTCTAAGTTCAGTGACAAACATCAAGTTCTCAAGGTACCGCACGCCAGCCCCACCCCAACTCCTGTGTAATGTTCTCCAACATCCTTTCGCAGTGGATTCCTCTAGCCCCACTCTCTCCTTCCCACCCAAACTGGCTTTTCAGAAAACATTGACTTTCTCTACACTTTAGAAAGATAAAACTATTCTTGCCTCAGATAAAAGGCATGACATGAAAAGGCCACCTCACAGGCACTAGGGCATAAGAACTGAGCAACAAAAAATGCTACCACAAGAAGACAACAGAATGGCTTTTGTTTTGGTTTTTTACAAAAATAAGAACAATGTCGTATTCGTTCATCTACACTGGGAACAGGGAGACGATATCACAGAGGTATGTGTTTAGTAAAGCAAATAGATGCTGCAACATGCAGTATTTGTAAAATCGACAACACAGATTTCTAAGGAAGGATTTTTAAAATAGACCTAACTGGCTGGTCAGAAGATAACTGAAGGGTATTCCCACCCTTATTTGCTGTCATCCAGGAAGACCCTATCAAAACACCTAAAGTAATCTGTAGCATCTAGGGTTCCTGGGATCTCAGAACCACAAGGCAAACCACTACTCATCTCAGGAAATCAGTGGCTGATTCCAAAGATTTCACTATGTCTGACTAAACCCCTAGTGGCTGCTTTCTTTTCTTTTCTCTCTCTCTCTCTTTTTTCCTCCCCTTTTAAAAGAAACAAAAACCAAAAAACAAAACCTGATGCCTTTGTTTCCAGATTTTTAGATTTGAAAAGTGGGGTTATTTTGTTACAAGAAAAGACTCTTACATGGAAACCAAAGAGCTGATTTAAAATATATATATATATTTTACATTATGTTCTAAGATAAAGCAAGGATGGGAGAATAGAAAAGAACTTTTAGACAACAAGAACAGCAAAAAATTTAAAGGAAATAAAAGTTTAAGATGCTATTACCAGCAAGTTTTTTCACTTATATTTGAATGGATTTCTGCTAAGAGATGGAGTAAGTTTTTAACATCAGACTGAAAACACCTTCCATTTCTTAAAACTATTCTAGAACTGTAAAGCCTTAAAACTATGTCCAGGGTTTGAGATATGTCTATTTTAATATAGTAAGTACTTTATGTTCCTTTAGGGTATAATACACGCATCAGAATGCCCATAGAAATAATCCTGAAAAAGACTGACTGGCCTTCTCTTAAAACCTGTTATTTTCTTGAAAGTAATTTACAGAGTGTGTCAAATGAGGACACAAGAAGCTTACAATGTGTACTTTAATTTTTTTTATTTTTTTCAATAAAGGGACAAAATGGGTGTATGAACAGGTTAATGCAGACAACTGCCAAAAAAACACAGACAGTGGTTTTTCCAATAGAACTTAACAAAGACCAGAAACAAATACAATAAAAAGCCAGGTTGTAATGACCTTTGGTCATCTAAATAAAAAAAAAATAAAAACAAAGAAAAATAAAAGATCAAATTAAGTGCCTCTGTTTTGAACAGGGCACATAAGCAATAATAAATAGTGACTCCCATAGTAAAAGATAAAATTTCAAGTTACGACAAACAGCTTTCATTACAGGAATAGAAAAGGCCAATAACAAAATATTCTGCATTGCCATTTACAAAAAAGTATTGACTAAAGCGGGCTTTCTCTTTAATATGCTTTGCATATGAAATTCTTTCCAATCTAAATATAAAGCACCATTTAGTTTTTGGCAATGAAAAAAACTGCAAAACATTGGTTTTTTTTTTTTTTCCTTTTTTTTTTTCTTTCTTTCTTTTACTGCATATGAAGGTAAGATGCTGGAATGTAGGGTGATAGAAGGAAAGGGACAAAAAGCACACTACATAACAAACCAACGTTATTAGCTTGCAGTACTGCATACAGTATGGCAGCAGGAAAAAGGAACAAAAAAGGATATGTACAACCCCTATGACAGCCATCCATGTGACATTCTAGCAGGCTCCCCCAAACCGCCATTATATGGCTTCTCATCTGTAATGTCACACGTTTTTGTTTCTCTCTTTTTTTTGAAGCATACAAATAATTTGCAGTATATTATCCTGCCAAATTAAAAAAATATACTGTGGCAGCCTGTCTTTTTTTTTTTTCCACTACCGAAAAAGGTACATTGATACCTTTTAAGAGAACAAGCAACAGTTAAAAATACAAGCTTCAATATAAATACTATAGTGCCTAACACTAGATGAACATTTAATTCAAATACCATTCTAGAAATACAGAAAAAAGACCATAAATGTATTTTAGCATAGGAATCAACATGAGTGTGCATTTTCCTATATTTAAGTACTATATAATCTTAAACCTTTCCCCAATGTATGTTTTTTTTTTTTACAACCTGAAGAGCGGTGTGTATCCAAGGCATAGAATTTCCACTACCATTTTTAAATGGATAACAAGTCTTGTAACACCACCAAGACAATGGAACCCTAAAATGCAGTTCCCCCCTAAACATAATGAAGTGTTTTTTTAAAAAATTTTTTCTTAACATTTATATTTAAAAAAGTTTTGTACAAAAAAATCCTTGCACTGTAGAAGCGAAAGCAATCATTCATTTCTATGTTAAGTGTATTCTGTTTCCATTCACAGCGCTTGCAATGTTGCGTCCAAGTAAGTAAGCTCAATAGTCAAGTAAATGGCTGGCAAAGTTTTTTTTTTTTTTAGTTTTTTAAAAATGCTCCTCAATGAGATTGTGTTCAATTTTTTTTTCAGCATTCTTGCAACTTTTCCCTTAAGTATAGACCTGTAAACTGGGAAAATTGTACAGTGCACTTAATTGTCCTATCTGAGCAGGTTTATTTTATACTCAACCTCTGTATCTCTGATTAGAGAAAAGATACAGATATCACAGGCAGAGTCAAGTGCTATTTGAACACCAACTGGGGCAGATGCTAGCTTAATAAAAAAGAAAAAATTAAAAAAATAAAAACAAAAACAATGAATCCTCTTCCATGTTAACACAAATAGCACACAGTGTATGGAAAAGAAATGAAGTACAACTTTTAGGGAGCACAGACATATATACTGCTACTCTTAAAATTCTTTCTCTTCTTTTTTTAAGAATGTCACATTTAAACGCAAGTCTTAAGAATTCATAGTTAATCATCATTGTATCAATATTAGCTTATATACCTGTTCTAGTTTTAAATGGCAAATAGTACCACGTTGTGCTAATAAATCATATTATTTTCTTCTGTTCCCCTCTGTCAAACCTTATTGTCAGCCTCTTCCTTTCAATATGGTATCCAAGGTCTTAAAGTTTATCATTTGATTGTCCACTTGACAACCAAGTAGATCTGGATCTATTTCTTTTGGTGCCAGAATTTTTAAAGAGACATTATTAAAGCAAATATCTTCATAAAATGAACTCCTTACTAGTGTATTTAATTGCGTTCCAGGGCTTTTGCACATTACACATTCAATTTAATCACTGTTTAAAAAAAATAAAACTTTGGGCAAAACAGCCCATTTCTTTTAAGCTCTCACCAGGAGCAAAGTAGCTTTTATACTGGTATAATCAGTTTTGTTTATAAAATTAAACTAAAGGAAAAATGATGATTAACTAGGACATAATGGGTCATATTTTTAGGTAGCCATTGTTGTGAGAAATACAATATAGAATTATATGCTAGTTCCTAAGGTTTATTACCTCACCCAATGCTGAATTAAGCTACAAGTTTATAACAAGTAGAAAGAACCATCAATGTGGTTTTAATAGATCCAAGGCACTCATATTTTAAAACCAAATGATAGAATAAACTTGTTCTGTTTTTCTGTTAGTTTGTCAATTCAAGGCCTTTTCTTCTTCCTCTCCAATTGATACATTTAACCCTTTAGAGACAGACATTTAGCTCATAGAGATTTTTTTTCCGTGCTATCTATTCTGTCTATAGAGGGTTAATCCAAAGACTGTTTTTCCTCCTCACGTTATAAAATAAAACTGTACATGATATGTATTACAGAATGTATGCAGCATGGTCTTTTTCTCTCTCTCTCTTTTTCTCTCAGAACGGAACTGGAAACAGCAACATGTTTGCTCAGCAACGAATTAGGGACAATTTAAAATAGCCATAACATACCATACATGCTGTCTAAGTTTAAAAAAAAACATACACAACATGTAAATTATTGCACAAGAGAAAGGCTCAAAGTTTGCGTAAAATGCAATAGTATTGCCCCATACAGATCATGCATTCAAACGGTGAGAACATAAAGGAAAAAAAAAAAAGGAAAAAGAGAAAAGAAAAAGAAAAAGAAAAAAAAAAACAGGTGTGCTGGTGACAAGCACTCTCATATTCTTAGCTTCATTACTTCTGTTTGTTTGTTTGTTTGTTTAAATCACATGGGACTAGAAAAAAATCCTACAGGGAGTGGGGCTGGAGGGCGATGGGGAAGGGGAGTGGTGAAAAAGGGGGTGTCAGGTGGGAGTGAGGGAGGGGTATTAATATACCTCTATTCAGTTTTTATATCATTATTCAACACTCGATCACTGTGCCATTTTTTCATGTGTTTCTCCAGGGTACTGTACACGCTAAAAGGCATCTTACAAATTTCACATTTGTAAACGTCCTTCCCCACCTGGCCATGCGTTTTCATGTGCCTGGTGAGCTTGCTACTCTGGGCACAGGCATAGTTGCACAGCTCGCATTTATAAGGCCTTTCGCCCGTGTGGCTTCTCCTGTGGACAGTGAGATTGCTACAGTTCTTGAAGACTTTCCCACAGTACTCACAAGTGTCGCTGCGTCTGCCCTCTTTTGAGCTGGGCCTGCCCGGGCCCGGACCACTAATATGGGGCGTGCTCCCTCCACTTCCCGTGCCGCTGCGCCCCGAGATCCCTCCGTCCAGCTCCCCGGGCGGTGTGGAGAAGCGCAAGCTCCCGTTCTCCGAGGAGTGCTCCGACGAGGAGGCAAAAGGCGATTGTCTGGAGTCTCCGAAGCTAAGGAAGGGATCTTTGAGCTGCCTGGAGGCCGCGTAGCCGGCGAGCCACTGCGAGTACACGTTCTCCGTGTTGGGCATCGCTGCCGGGGGCAGATCGAACTCCTTCTCGAGCTTGATGCGCTTAGAGAAGGGGCTCAGCGAGCTGGGGCTGCCCAGCAGCAGCTTTTTGGACAGGCCCCCCGAGGCCGACTCGCCCGGGGAGCAGCCACGGCCGTTAACAGTGCCATCGTCTATGCGGTCCGACTCGCCGGCCACCGAGTCTTCGTCGCAAGTGTCCCTGTGGCCCTCGGCCTCGGCCAGGTGGCCGCGCTTATGCTTCTCGCCCAGGACCTGGTGGAAGGCCTCGCTGAAGTGCTGCATGGAGCTGAGCACCATGCCCTGCATGACGTCGGGCAGGGCGCGGCTCTCGTCGCCCACGCCCACCACCGCGCCCCGCGAGCTGTTCTCGTGGTGGCGCGCCGCCTCCAGGCTCAGCCCGAAGCCGTAGTCCACCCTCTCGCTCTCCGTCAGCTCCTCCTCCTCCTCTTCCTCCTCTTCTTCCTCTTCCTCGTCGTCCTCCTCTTCCTCCTCATCCCCGTTCTCCGGGATCAGGTTGGGGTCGTTCTCGCTCTTGAACTTGGCCACCACGGACTTGAGCGCGCTGCTGGCGCTGCCCACCAGGTCGCTGGTGCCGGGTTCCGGGGAGCTGGCGGTAGAGAGACCGTCGTCGGACTTGACCGTCATGGGGGATGATTTGTGCATGTGCGTCTTCATGTGACGCTTCAGCTTGCTGGCCTGGGTGCACGCGTGGTCGCACAGGTTGCACTTGTAGGGCTTCTCGCCCGTGTGGCTGCGCCGGTGCACCACCAGGTTGCTCTGAAATTTGAACGTCTTGCCGCAGAACTCGCATGACTTGGACTTGACCGGGGGCTGGGAGGGAGGAGGGGCGGATTGCAGAGGAGGGAGGGGGGGCGTCGCCAGGAAGGGCGGCTTGCTACCTGGCTGGAATGGTTGCAGTAACCTTTGCATAGGGCTGGGCCGGCCTGGGGACAGCGGTGGGCTAGACGTGTTCCCTGCCAGCTCTCTAAGTCTCCTAGAGAAATCCATGGCGGGAGGCTCCATAGCCATTGGATTCAACCGCAGCACCCTGTCAAAGGCACTCGGGTGATGGGTGGCCAGGGCCATCTCTTCCGCCCCCAGGCGCTCTATGCGGTGGGGGTCCAAGTGATGTCTCGGTGGTGGACTAAACAGGGGGGGAGTGGGTGGAAAGCGCCCTTCTGCCAGGCCGGAAGCCTCTCTCGATACTGATCCTGGTATTCTTAGCAGGTTAAAGGGGTTATTGTCTGCAATATGAATCCCATGGAGAGGTGGCTGGGAAGGACATTCTGCACCTAGTCCTGAAGGGATACCAACCCGCGGGGTCAGGGGACTTCCGTGTTCGCTTTCTAAGTAGATTCTTAATCCATGAGTGTTCTGTGCGTGTTGCAAGAGAAACCATGCACTGGTGAATGGCTGTTTGCAAGTTGTACATGTGTAGCTGCTGGGCTCATCTTTACCTGCAAAATAATACAACACCAACATCAATGTTTAATCACTGAGGCGGGCATCAGCAATTGCTTATTTATGTTCCACCTCCAGCCTTCCCTGCCCCCACCCCTCAACCCCAAGCCCTAAACCCTCACTGACCTACTCCTGTGCCTGGCACGTCTGAGCATGGGTACCCAGTAAATATTGGTCCAATCAGTCTTCCTGCCATTAAACTCAGTTCTAGGAATTTGATATCCAGTCCCCAAAGCAGAAAAATCCTGGCCAGTTCTGGCTTGAGAATGAAGGTCCCTACATTCTAGGCACCTAAACAAATGTCTTCTAAACTTTCCAGTCCCATCAGCTGTAGTTTGGGGCAAGCCATCTCATCTCCATGTGCCTCTGTTTCCTCTTTGTTAAGTGAGAAACTTGGACAAGGTGACCCAAGGAAACTTTTTGGCTTCCTAAATCCCAGCTTTCTATTCCCCCCTGGGTGGCAGGTGAACTTTCTAAATAGGCAAACATTTCATAGAGATTCAAAAAAAGGGGAGAAGGTCAACTCACTACAATGTTATATGGCCCTAGAGATGCTTTCAGTCTTAGTCTGAAACACACTAATTGTTGATATTGTTAAAATGAGAGGGTACTCATAAAATACTTCCATGGAAAAAAGACTAGCAACATTCTCACATCCCAGACTGTGGGAGGATCAGTGAGTCCCAATTTTGGTTCCACAACACCCCATGGGAACGCCCATTTTTATCTCAAAGAATGTTTAAAAATCTGAAAGAAAAACTTCATTCAGATCTAATGGATAGGCTGTATCCAATCTTTAGGAGTTGTCCCCCAGTCAGACAAATGCAAGTCTGGAAAAGTTAGGAGGAGTGGCTGGTGCCGACTTAAGCAGACACAGCATCCTAGTTTAAGGAACAGTTAAAGCAGCCAGCACCATGACAGGCAGCAGGCTGAGAAATGCTACACTATCCTCCTCCTCATTATTTTGAGAGGCTAACAACGTGAACCAAATTATACAACATCCTGCGCCCTCGGCTGAGACTCAGCTCCAGTTGAGAAAGAAACAGAAAGATACAGTTCAGCTAGTCAACTCTGGCCAGTAGCCAAGCCGTCTGGAGAGGGGCCCTGCTTAAGTCACATTATTTCCCTTGCTGAAAAGAACCCAAGAGTGGTAAATGCCACTTTGGCAAAGAAGGGCCAGCTTGACTTCACAAAATCTTTCATTTGGGGAGATGGCTAAATTAAATATATATGGGGAGATAGCTAAATTAAATATATATATATATGGAATAACTAACCAACAGTTTACTAGTCAAGTACAACATTAAAAAGGGCAGAAGTAATGGTAGCCAAAGGACAAGGATGAGAAAAACAGAAAACTTCCCATGGATTCTGAAAAAAACCTTAAAATACAACTGAGAAATAACAAACTTTTCTCCTTCTTTTAAAAGAAAGGCTACAAGAGTTCCTTAAGGCCACAGCTAGTATTTGTCAGTTAACTTTCTAAGAAGGGAAAAAAAATAAAAATCTACCAGGGAGGTTAATAGTGAGAATGAGGAATTAATCAATTATATGATGCCTCCATTTAGCAAGTCAGAAAGAAAAGCTGGCAGGGTCTTCTCAGGAGCCCCCAAACACTGGTATTCCAAAACAAGCCAGCCTTGCTCAAGCACTTGTCTCAATAATGGACTCCTGCCCTGACCTTGTAATTTACTTTACAATGCATTTATAATCCCACTCAATATATCCCACTCCTGGGTAAATCTCTTAAACAAGATTAGATGGTAAGATACCAAAATTAGATTTCAAACATTTGTCTAATGTGGAAGGGGGAAAAAAGGCAGAAAGATTTTGAAAGAAAACGCTGACATTAGTATCACATTATCTGCCTATTTTTGTTTGCCTCCTCTCTTCAAAGGGAAATAAAAAGCTTCATTGACAGCATTTTCATAAATTTTTTGTTGTTGTTGAACAATGACTTGAGTCCCAAATAGGCTGGAAAAAAAATTATCTGGTTCCAACTACATGATCCTCTGTGGCTTCCTCCTTGTCCTCCCTAGGTCTCTGCATGACTATCATACCCATGTAGCCCGACAATCTGAGTTGGGCAAGTAAAAAGATTTGTCTGATAATGCAAGTCCTTAACACGTTCATCACTCCAAATGCCTTAAAATTATATTTTACCTTATAAAAAAATCGATAGAAATCCAGGACTGGACTCATAATTAGTGGTGCTGGTTTCACATGTGCCATGAATGTAGTCATTGATAAATGCCAAAATCTGTGGCATACAGCACTACATCAAGGATCTCATTTGTATCCTTTCAAAAAGGCTTAAATGAGAAAAGTCCATTTTATTTTGCTGCCCTGAGCGTCCTAAACTTTTTTTCAGAGCTAGTTATGTGATCATGCTACAGTATGTTAACACTGTGATGTTATCCTCCCTCTCTCTCATACATCAGGTCAGAGAAAATGGCATTTTATCTTATAATGAGCATACAACATACAGTTTTCACTATCGCATTTTAGTATTCCCATCAACTAGATATTCTAGATCATGAGGGCAGCTAGTGTAATCATAATGTCAATGAGAAGGGCTGTTACGATTGAGACTAAAGATTACATGGAGAGAGCTGCTTTGAAACTGGTAATTATTACCAGTCCACTAATAGCAAATGATGCATTACAATTTCACCATATAATCTGTATTTCACTCAGCTCGTGCCGGTGTACCATATTATATTACAGTGCTCACAGATTCTAAATTCCTAAACTGCAGTCATCAATAAATGTGTTACTTGCCATAATTTGTGAAATTACTTTGTTCATAACATCTTTGATGATTTAGAAAGACCAGAATTGATTTCCTGTGTGGCAAAATTAGGGCTACATTGATTTATTGATGTGTAAAATATAATAATATTCTTCATTTACTCTGATGAAAATCAACTTCTCAATTTGAGAGCCTCATTGGGCATTTACAGGGATTGTTTTGATTTAGAGCAATAAACTGACACCTGGCCCCTAAGCATAGGAACTTGAGGCACCAAAAGGGTTAAAATCAGCTATTAGCCCACCTACTGACTTTTATCTTATTTCATTTTACTTTATAGGAAGGAATGACCCCCATTTCTAGTATGTCACCAATGTGAAAAAGTCATGTGATCTAAGGCTCAAGATTCAGAAGAACAAGGAGGCCTGAGACTAGAGCCCTAGCTCTATTATTCACCAGCTTGTAACTCTGGGATAGTCATTTGATTTCTCTGAGTCTTAGAATTCCTATCTGTAAAATGAGCATAAAAACAGTACCTGTAAAGAATTGTTGGGAGGTTCAAATGACAGAAGTATATAAAAGCCCTCTGTAAACTATCAGGTCCAACATGAATGTGAATTTTCATTACTACCAGGGGTGATTAATTACTGAGGGTAATGACTAACCACATTACACACCCCGCACGGCTTCCAGAGGAAGGTCCCAGTCCAGGCCTTAACCCAGGCCAAAAGGAGGCTGTAGTGAAAGAGCAGGGGTGACTGGCACACAGCAGGGCGGCCAAAGGGAAGTGCTATGAGCTCTAGAAGCCGGGGGCAGCAGGTTAATGCCGCCAAGTGGAATGGGCATCAGATTTGTTCTAGAGCTTTCTGGACCCCCACAACCCATTTCCACATACCTTGTTCTGGTCACTCCTAAACTGGTCCTGCCGGCAGGGGCACCAGTAAACTATGTACCCTCCCTTTGTGGGAAGGTGGGAGAGGACAGGAGTTCCTTATCAAGCTCAGACTTTCCTACCAGTCAAATCAAACTCCCAGCCCTCAGGAAGACCAGGCTGAAGACAGAGAACTATGTTTCCCTGGCCAGCAGCCCTTGGCCTCTCAACTCCACCCTCCTCTCAACTGCTCAACTGCCTTCTTTCCCTTCCCTCCAAAAGTGGCTCCGTTCCCACAGCCCCATGCAGGCCCCAGATGCCCCCAGCAACAGGAGAGCTCTCCCCACCCAGCCAGCATGCAGGGACTAGAAACCGTTGAGTCCAACCCCCTAAACCCTCTGCAATCTGTGACCTAACCCAGGCTTAGGCCCAGCTTGGGGAAGGGGGGCAGATGAGGTGCTTTTAACCCCTGAACCACCCAGCCCTCAGGACCTGAGGGCTTATGAAATTCACACAATAACTCTTTGTTACCTAGGATTACCTAGGAGTTAACAAAAATAAACAACTGGCTTTGACTCTGGTCTCAGGGTGCATGCCCTGCTCTTCAGATACCATTTACAAGGTGGATAAGTGTCATTTCCCTCCCGTCTAAAAACAGTCCCCCTTAGAGCCTTAACTCTGGCATCTTGCTCTTTGTTATTCTCTTTCCATGACCCTTTTCCTTTTCTTTTCTTTTCTTTTCTTTCCACAGCAGGTTATTTTTCATTTACTTTCAAATAAAAATTAGAGGTCACACTTCTTTTCTTCTTGAACCTACTTTTTTGTGTTTAGGGCGGAATCACTGCCCACCCCCCAACCCTTTAGCCATGCATGATTCATACCATGTCTTCCTACACAGAGAAGCAAACTGTATTACTTTCTAAAACAGTATCTTTCAGAAAACATTTGTATAAATGGACAAATTTAAGTTTCATAAAATGGTCCTTACTATAAAAGCTCGCTTGAACAAGTAAATGGTGGTGGTGGTGATGGTGGTGGTAGTGGTGGTGGTGGCGGTGGTGGTGGTGGTGATGGTGGTGATGGTAATGGTGGTGATGGTGATGGTGGTGGTGGTGGTGGTGGTGGTGGTGATGGTGGTGGTAGTGGTGGTGGTGGTGATAGTAGAACCTTCACATTTTAACTAAAATGATGTGCATTTTCCTCTAAAACTAGGAGAAAAATAAGTCAAAATTATGTGTGATCATGTATATATAAAATATACTATGTACAAATATACATGTAAATACATAAGGAATATGTATTAGAATAACTCTGGAATAACCCTAAACTGACTGCTTTTGATTCTGGCCTTGGCTAAAGATGTGTGCATTGGACTATACCCGAAGTCCTAAATGAGGCCACAGGAGTGAATGTCCAGTAATAAAATGGGCTCCAAAGGCACAGGCATATTCAATCACTAGCCATGGAGCCAGACAAGACCCTGGGGAGAAGACCCACAGGGATTAGCTACTTTCAGCTCCCAGCCTCCAGTGAGGAAAGAAAAAGGGGAGGCAAGAAGTCCCTCTGGGGCTGAGTGGAGTGGGGAGCGTCTGCCAAGTGAGTAATGGAATAATACATATGACAATCTATTTTGGAAGTAACTCCGTTCAGTACTTAAAAAGTAAGGGCAATTTCCAGAAACTGTCATCTCTATACACATGGACATTTGTAGAAGAAATAAGGCTCAACTTACAAATACCCTGCGGGGCATATTCTGCACTCATCCCGGGCGTGGGGATTAGAGCTCCATGTGCAGAACGAGGGGAGGAGAGGCCCCTCCAGTGCAGAAGTTTATCTGTGAAAGAAACCCAAAATCAAGCACTACAGCTACAAACAACGTGCATCATAAACCACAGGATATCACATTTCAATTCCATTAAAACAGATTAACATCATTACAACAGCCTTGCAGATAGTTAACAGGCCCAAGGCCTGAAACAAAAGAAGAGTGGAGAGTTATTTCCCACAGTTTCTGTTTTGTTTTCAATTTCGGTCTTTTTGACAAAAGGGAAAGGGTTTGTTTTAGGAATGGGGAGAGGTGGTCTTTGGTTCATTTGCTTGTTTATTTGTTGTTTGATTATTGTTTTGTGGAAAGAGATGGGTAAACAGCAAGGGGAAAACTGGTAATATTGTGGGTAGCCTGGAAACATGGGGGTGGGTGTTATCTGCAAGGCTGGTTTACATGCATACATTAACTTTACTTTATAGACAAACCCAAGCAAAAAACAAAATGCTGATAGGAAATGAGTAGATTTGTGAACCGTTTTTTATGGGACAGAGTCCCATTCTGCTTTCTCTGTCCCTCTGCCCCCCTCTTCCCATGCTATATTTATGATAGAGCCTTCAGTGACAGGGGAACCTTGGGCATTTCTGGACTGACCTGGGCCATATGCTAGAGTCCTGTCAACGGGAAACCCTGTACAGATGTGGCTTCTCACAATACAAAGCAATGGAAGATAAAGATTAGACTTCTGGGGTCCAAATAACTTTGGCCATTACATGACAAGGAAAGAACCAGCATTCCAATAATACCAGCACCCAGAAACCCTGGCCCACCTTCACCATTTTATTGCACTTTGTTGCACTCTGGTGAAGACAAGTGACTTTTCACACTAATAAAATGAATCTGATAGTCAACAAAACATTTCTAGCACTGAGATTTTTTTGAGAAGAGGAAAATTTGGTTTGTGCAGTCTGGGGATTTTATGGTTTATGTGGTAAGTGCCTAGCTTTTCCAAGTCCTCCTCTAGCTAACTAACCATGTAGTTGTCCATCTTGAGACAGACTGGAGGATAGATGGTGCAGGAAACGCTCTGTGTGTTCTAGAGGTTTGGAGTTCGTGATGATTGGGGAGGGCAGGAGAGAAGAAAAACAGACTTTGATGGTGAATAAACAGTATGTTTTCCATTAGCTTAATATTAAGAGCACTTAGAAGTGTTGTTGTTGTACTCTAGGATAGCAGGTCTCAAGTGTAAAATACATCCTGTTCTCCTTATATAGAGCACACTGCCAAGCACAGCCAAGGCAGTTGGGACAAGATTTCCTTTCGTGAGGAGCCTGGTGGGTAACGATGGTGTGCTGCTGAGAAGGCTCTTACACAGACAGCATAGGTCTGCTGTTACCAGGCCTGCAGAGGGAGGCCCTGGTGGAAGCACCACCTAGCCTGAGACTGTCTACAGAGACATTTCATCCTCTCTGACCTAAAACAAAATAAACAACCGCAAAGTGAACCAACACAAGCAGGAAGACCGGACTTAACAAACAAGTATGTCTACATTTGACTGTTTATGTCAACTGAATTGAGAGTGTGGTGTAAAATTACTACAGATTTTGTCATGGCATTTTTCAATGAGAAATCTGAGAATCCATTTTTGCACTTGTTTTTGCCTCAGCCGTTCACTAAGTTTGCTGCCAAAACAGACATCCTTTTCTTAGGAAACACACGCAACCCGGGTATCTCTGTGATCCCAGCATAAAAGCAACAGGTACTTGGATCCTTGTATGGGGAGCATCTAATTTCAAATTCTCTGCCACTTACTCTGGGAAGAGACCCTGAAGTGCTTCAGCAGGCCTCCAGCAAGAAATGGGAGAATTGCTGACCTAATCCATGCTTAACCCCTCGCATGAATCTCTGGTTGGCAAACTCGTCTACAAACCCATTAGCCCTGCAGGACCAGATCTCTATAGTGTCAGGCCATGTGGCACAGTGAGGTCTCATCTGAGTATCTGGCAGCATCATTTGTTTTTGTTTTTGTTTTCTAAGTTGTAGAAAACCTTAGCTATCATCAAGTCGGTCCCTTCATTTTACAGATGGGGAAACTGAGGCCATGAGAAATTAAGCGACTTGCCCATGGCTACACTGATGGTTAACCACAATGTGAAGATTAGAATTCATCTCCTGACTCCTGATCCAGTGATCTTTCCTGGGAATCTGTCTCTTCCCCTCTGCTCTTACTGCCGTGGTCTTCACTGCCCAATAAGAAGGTCCTGTTTCTGCTGATCCATTAGGCAGTACTTAACAGTCCTGGGGAGGGTCCAGCCCAGCAGTGTTACATGGGGCTTTCAAAAGGTGCCAATGAACTGACTTGGTCTCACAGTTGGAAAACAAGGCCTGCTCTGCTGCCTGGGCCTCCTGGCCTCACCTTTGCTGTGTTCACCCTCTACCTCTGCTTCCCCTGCAGAATTAGACAGCTGAAACCATTTCTATCAGCCTAAGAAGCTATTTACTTTAGAAAAAAGCACACTGTCTTTGTGAGACTAACCCTTGCATTTATCTTCCTCCAGGAAGAGGGTCAAAGCAAAGCCAATTGAGGACCCCAGCTGATTCTGCTGCTTCTTCCACTAAACACATCCATAATATTCTCTTTGGTAAGTAGAATCGACATTCCCACATGAACTGGAAATGCTAAATTGTTAATAGCCTCCCTAGGGCTTAACTTCTTGCTATGATGCCTTCAATTATTTCATCACGGCTTAGACAAAGTAAAGTATCACAATTAATGCTTCTGAGCGTCAAACTCAAGGAGCAGCTCTGCCTTCCCAGGCCAGGGGGCAGGATGGGGGAAGAGCTGCCCCTGGTTGAGGGCCTCTTCTTTTCCCACCTTCACTTTCATTCTGCCCAGCCAGAGATGGGCTCTGGTTGCTGGCCAGGAAGTGGGTGATCTAGTTATGTCCTCTTTATTTCTTTGTTGGTGCTCTTAGGCAAGTGATTCTCACAATGCAGACCCAAGCCCACCCCCGATCAGCATCACCTGGGAGTTTGTTGGAAATGCAAATTCTTGGGCACCACCTCAGACTTACTGAATCAGAAACTGAGGGCGGGGAAGCAGCAGTCTATGTTGAATAAATTCTCCAGGTGATTCTGATACACACTCAAGTTGAATCAGCACTGCTGTCATAGGGGAAGGGAAGTATGAACGCTGGAAGCTTTGAGATTCCCTGTGCAGAGACCCATGGGCCATGAGGCTGTTCTCCCTCCTGTCCAGGACCCCACCTCCTTTAGGACTGGAACAGTCAAAATCAAATTAAGTTTAGGGAATCCCTAAGGGTCCCTCCATTAGGAAATTCAGGTTCCACCCTCCGTCTGTCATTGATAAGGACAGAGAACAGGTCCAGGCTCTCCATCAGTTCCAGGGCCTTCTTAGCATGAGACAACACCCAAACCAGCTTGTGTCAGATTGTGTCCTCACTGCTTCCATAAAAGTTGACATGTCAGAGAACGCAGCTGTGGCAACCGCACGGACAGAGCAGGAACTGGACTCTTGTTTCCCTTTCTGGTCTTTCAGATGGGACACATTTCCCTTTTCTGACTCAATGTTTTTTCAAATGTCTTACACTTTTCTGGTGGAAGGTGTTTCAACCTGTTCTATTTCATAAAGATCTCTCTAGACCCAGCATTTCCACTTGGGGCCTCAGAAATGCCTTACACATTATTAGGTTGCAAAGTTTCCTTATGGCTGAATTAAAAAATAATGACTCTTATTTTTCAGGTCTCATTAAAAAATATGCAACAAACTGGGAATGGCTTTGATTTAATGTTATACATTTGGTCACTTTACATTTCTACATATATTGGATACCAACTTTTGACCCAGAGCTCTAAGCCCAGTGGGATGCTCCTGGAATTTAAGGTCATTAAATCAAGTTTTTTGGTTTCCTCAAGGACGTCTCAAAGATTCCTTGACTATTAACATGCTATTTGTTTCTGAAACTAATCACTGGGTGTGTAATACAGACACATTACTGTCTACTAATCAATAGGTAATACTGCAGATTTCCAAATGTGCCAAAACAGCTAAGCAAAAAAGCATCATTCCAACACATTTAATGACTGCTTTGGGAGCCCAATTTCAACAGGTACTAAAACCACAGGACTCTCCACAGGAGTATATAGATGTGTGCCATTCACTAAAAAGTATGTGTGTGTGCGTGTGCAAGCGTGTGTGTGTGTGAGCATGTGCATGCATAAGTCTGTATGTGTGTGTGCATGCACGTGCAAGTATGTTTGTGAGCATATGTGTGCATGTGTGAGTGTGTGCATGTATGCATATGTGTGTATATGAGTGCATGTGTGCGTATGTGTGTGAGCGTGTGCATGTGTGTATATACGTGTGAGCGTGTGCATGTGCAGGTGTGAGCGTGTGCATGTGCGTGCATGCACATGTGTGTGAGCGTGTCCATGCATGTGTGTATATGTGTGTGCCTGCATGTCTGTGTACGTGTGTGAATGTGTATATATTTCCTAAACATATGTTTTTAGATAATTTCCCTGTTTGTTTGTTTTTTTCCAGTAAGACAGGCACAAAAGCAGTAGAGCTGTCCCACATGGCATGGGCTATCTCATGACGCCGTGACCTCCCTTTCTTTCACCCTGGGACTTCAAAAAGAGAATGGATGACACTGTGTTGAGAAGGGATCTCTATATTGGTGACAGGCCAAAATACAGGACTCCCTACAGTCCTCTCCCGGTCCATAAACCTCAAGTCCCTCAGCCCTTCCATGTAGCGACCTTCTAGACTACACTTAAAATGCATCCTGAACATTTGTAAAGTACCCTGAAGGAACTATTCCAGTTCTGAATCCGATTACTAGGTTCAAGTCACACAAATAACAACAGTGCGGCTAGTCTAAGCTAGAGGCTTCTTTATCTAACTGCAAAGTAAATGTCCTTTCTATTCAGCCGCATCTAGCTCTTGACCCTATGTTTACCATAGATACCAGTTCTTCTTGCTTAGATTCTCTGACTTATCAGAGTATTATAGAGCAAACATTAGCTATGCCTGTGTCTTGAGTTGT